TTATTGACCTAGTGTGGTCATGTGCTTATCTCCGTACCAATCACTGTAGCCAAGAAGATGTGATGCTGATTGGCTAGGCCGGGGCCATATGTCCCACCCACCCTAACTCCAGCTAGAGGTGCAAATAGCCCTACAGGAGCTATGTAATAGGCTGAAAGTGGGGAAGATGGTAATTCCACAAATAAAATCAGGATTCACTTACCAGGGAAATGAATGCCCTGTATTAGAACATAAGAAATGTTCCACAGTTGTAATCATCATCTCCATTTAAAGAGAATGAAACTGAGTCTCAGTAGAGTTAACTGAATTACCCAAGTCACACACCTAGAAAATACCGGACCTGAGGATCAAATTCGGGTCTGTATAGTTCTAAAATCTATTCTCCCTCTATTTCACCAAGTGGCCTTCATGTTAACATCAGTCAGGAGTCTAGGATTTATACTCTGTGACCCTTCATTTACTACCAGGTCACATTAAAAATGGTCCTGGGGTCCCTGGCTGGCTCAGTCCACTTGATCTTGGAGCTGTTAGTTCAAGCCCCAAGTTGGGCACAGAGATTACTTAAAAATAAATATTTTTTAGAGGCACCCGGGTGGCTCAGTAGGTTGGACTCTGTCTCTTGATTTCGGCTCAGGTCATGATCTCAGGGTTTTGGTATGTGGGTTCAAGCCCCACCTTCAGCTCTGGGCTGACAGCAGAGCCTGCTTGGGAGTCTTCCTTTCTCCCTCTTTCTATGCCCCTCCCTCATTCATTTCTCTCTCTCTCTCTCAGAAATGAATAAACTTTTTAAAAAAAAATTTTAAATATTTTAAGTTAAGCATCTTTTAAAAACAAAATAAAAATGGTTCTTGTTCCCAGGAATTCTATTCTTCATATCATAAAAATTTGTCCATCTTCAGATCTTGGCTCAATCAGTCAACGCTTCCTCATGAAAACTTTCTGTGGCCGCCCAACCAGACCAAATCACTGAGCTTGTAGAGTACCATGTATGTTTTTTCAAATACTTATCCCCATTCAAGTTACACATTTCTGAGGTAATGTGATGAATGTCTGCCTTCACACTAAACAAGAGAGCAGAAGTCATATTTGCTTTTGTTCATCTTTATAATCCTAGCACCAAACATATACCTAAGGATTTGTTAAATGAATAAATGAATCTACTGTAAATAAATAACTCTTTTCTAAAATGGATATATGTAAACTCTGGGCAAGGGCCAGTGACCAGGGTTCAGTAAAAATAACAGCTGAGGCAATCATGAGAAATGATGGTGAAGGCAAGGAGAGGGGTTCAAACAAAATGCATTCTATCTTTAGTTGTATGTGCAAGGACTTCAGTCTCCCAGGGATGGCAGGATGAAGGAGAAGGGAGAGTTCAAGAAAAAGAAAGCACTGACCCTTTCATCTCATATCTGGGCACTAGTTGTTAAGTATAACTGCAAGTCAGGGGCTGAAAGTTCCTGGACAGTTCCTGTATATGAAAAGAGTGGTTCTCAAGCTTTAGTGTGCTTTAAGAAATATCTAGAGCAGTTATGAAAAAAATCGATCCCTGAGACCCACCCTGACCTGAGATTCTGTTGTTCTGTCTTAAAGAATCTACGTATTTATAAACGACACTCCACCCTCCCATACACACACTCTAGTGAAAGTGGCCCTAGCCCACTCTTTAAGAAACACTGTTAACTGGGGCGCCTGGGTGGCTTAGTCGGTTAAGCGTCTGACTTTCGCTTGGGTCATGATCTCGTGGTTTGTGGGTTCGAGCCCCGCGTCGGGCTCTGTGCTGACTGGCAGCTCAGAGCCTGGAGCCTATTTCAGAGTCTGTGTCTCCCTCTCTCTCTGACCCTCCCCTGCTCACGCTGTCTCTCTCTCTCTCTCCTAGAAATAAATAAAAATATTAAAAAAAAAAAGAAACACTGTTAACCTTTTCCTAAAGAGTGCCTGACAATAAGCTTGTATATTGGAGGTCCGGCCGCCTATTAAACATCCCTTGAAGGCTGTACCCACAGAAATCCCAACAGCCTGTCTGATCCCACGATTCCATATGTGGGATGCACCAGCTGAAAAACCCAAAGATGTCAACCTTGCAGCCCTGTAGATTTCAGATCCCTCCTTTCCGATGTCTGTTAGTCATTTCAGATCACTAGATCTCTTTTTTCTGTTGTTCTGGGCCAGCCTCTGTGGCACCAGTGGTCAACTGATTTGTGACATGTATTCTAGGTCTTTCTGTGCCATCATTACACTAGTGCTCACCATCTCATTAACCTCTTACCAAAATTCACTTGAAAGAGAATTTTACTGTGGAAGAGAAACATTCATGTCATCGGCAATATCTTTCACTTAGTGACGGCTTGTAGAAGCTTAAAAAAAAACAAAAACGGAGGCGCCTGGGTGGCTCAGTTGGTTGAGCGACCAACTTCGGCTCAGGTCATGATCTCACAGTTTGTGAGTCGAGCCCTACACAGGCCTCTGTGCTGACAGCTTAGAGTGTGGAGCCTGCTTCAGATTCTGTGTCTCCCTCTCTCTCTGCCCTTCCCCCACCCACACTCACTCTCTCTCAAAAATAAATAAAACATTAAAAAAATTTTTTTAAATCAAAACATTCCCAAGCCTTTTGCTATTCCCCCATCCTTCCAGAACTCAGAAAAACTGAGGCTCCCCCTCAGATTTGCAATAATTGGAATTTCTTCTTCCTGCCTTTATTTCCTAAAGTCACCAAATCCCCACTTAAAATGCTTCTAATAAACCGACTCTAGTTGATGTTCGCCCAAAGTTCGTCAGGACAGCTTCGCAGTATTACCAGCAGAGGGCAGCAGAGTACAGCGCTCCAGGAAGCAGGCACCTGAAATAGAGTAGGAAAATCAAAAAGCCCAAAGCGTGTAGCAATAGTAAATGCATGAATCTTGAAATAACACCCTTCTGTTGTGATATTTTTCTGATCTCGAGTTAGTGTCTGCAACTCTCTGGCTAATCATCACATTAACAAACTACATCATTTCTTTGTTGCCAGAGACAGGTACAAATCACTCCAGAATCCTTCCAGCCACACGGATGGCCACTCTCATGCTGGGGACCTGGGGGATCATTTATTCAGACAAGTAATAAGTTGAAAAGGCCTGGTGCTGTGCCTGTGATAACATGTAAATTTGGAATTTAAAAAAAAAAAACCCTCTTTATTAGATTATACATACTTGACTTTCTAGAACCAATCATCAATTCGCAAATGCCCTTTATATGGTAGACTTTATTTAAAAGGAGGCAAATGTAACCAAGATGTTTGGCTCCCTACCCTTACCTTCAACAGATTTATAATCTAATAGGCAAATATACCTACTCAACTTCTGTATATTAGAATCCTAGCAGTAGATGCAAGGAAGCTGCTTATTTAAATGCACACATTGAGTACTTGCTATGTGATCGTCACACGCGATATGTAAAGCTCTTTATTGCTCAGTCCGGATCCCCCCTGCAACAGTAAGATGCAAGTAAAATACAGACGAGGACGCTGAGACTTCGGTAGGTGGAAGCTTATCGGAGCTAGGATGGACCCCGTGGCCAGTGTGACCCCTACGCTCACACTCTTAACCCTCCTTTTTAGGAGAAGAGGATGCTCTTGGCTTTTCTGCTTTTTGCAAAGGATAATGCATGTCCACTTAGGAAAATACTCTTAGTGATCTGGCCTTCTATTTTCCTGAAAGCCCCTTAGGGCCTTCCAGTATAAAGAACAAGTTCTGCAAACCATATGCGTCGTGAAGAAAGTTTTCACTAGGAACCTACAGAGGGCAGCAGCAGATAAACCAATCGCACTCCTTTAGCTGCCGTTAGGACCCTCAGGCCCCCGAGGATGCGGAGATGGGTGATGGGTACAGAGGAGGAGAGCACCAATTTCTAACTGCCATTAAAAAAGAGACAGAGACAGACAGATCTCACCATGGAGGAGGCTAACGTCGTCCCCAGCAGGGATCAAAGTTCACCTAGAAAATGTCTCCCTTAATAAAGGGAACTAAGAGAGAAGGGATGTGGCACTCCTTCTCCAAGATGCTGACATCGTGGATGGTAAATATCCCCACAAGCTTTTAGCCCAAACCCTGAAGGATGCTCACTCTCCCACAGGCACCGTGCAGATGAGCCAGATGCAGAAACACTAAGTATCCACACTGGGTCTGGGCACACCATGGCCACAGGGTCCTGGAGGCTGGCCCGCAGCTGCGGAGCCCTCGCCCATCACTGGCATGGATGCCTGTGTCACTGGTGAGGGCTGCCAAGGGACAGCGGCTGTGCCGCTGAGGGCTGAGGGTGGCTCTCCTGTGACTGGCACCTAGTGATCGAGTGCTCATTGCTTGTGACAGCATGTCACTCCTGCACTTGTCTGAGATGCAGGCAAGACCTCGCAAAGCAACCAGAAGCCTTCCTTCCATGGGAGAGGGAGGGGGGAACAAAATGTGTGGCTTGATGCTGAGAATTGGCTTGCAAAAAATCAAATGGTAACAAGAAGTAGTAGGGGCATTTGTAAATGAGCGTCTGATCCCTAACTGCTGACCAAAAGGCCTGTACGAACGTGGCAGTCTCAGCCAGGGCCAAGGTTATCTTAGGTAAGACCTATAAAATTTCCACTATTTACCCAGTTTTGAGCTACAAAAATGGCAATTTCATATGGCTGAGCCCATTAAAATAACAAAGAGCAATAATAATAACTTCTAGCTTTTATCAAGCACTTAGTGCCAAGAACAAATTCTAAGTACATTCCATGTGTGAACTCATTCAGCTCGCACAATAAGCCAGTGGGGAGGTAGGTTCTCAGATTATATCGAGGCCTATACATGGGGTAACAAAGGACCAGAGAGGCCAAGAAACTTGCTCTAACTCACACAGCTAGCAGGTAGCAAACCTCAGCTTGAACCCAGCTACGAAGTACAGAGCCTCAGGGACAAGGACGTGGTTGACGGGCGAGGGTGTCTTCAGGGACGGAGTCGGTAACAACGTGACGATCTGCTTTGCCTTGCCAGGTCAGTCAGTACACATTTGCCATGTGCAGTTATCGGGAGAAGAAAGCGGAGCCTCAGGAACTGCTACAGCTAGACGGCTACACCGTGGACTACACCGACCCGCAGCCAGGTACCCGCCTGCCCTCGAGGCTCTGCACCCACCGAGCTCTCCCCCTGACCCAAGTCATAGTCAGCGACATTTCCTGGGCACCTCCTCTGGGCTGGGCACCGAGCCAAGTTACTAGGTCTTGCAGGCAACCGGGACAGCCACAGGCCAGGGTCTTAACGGAGTTTCCATCCTGGGTGAGTGAATGCCATCCCAGTCAAGGGTTTTGGTTTTACCCAAGGGACCCTCATAAAGCCAAACAGAAAACATAATACGTTTTTCTTTGACCTAGCTGTGGCCCGGGACTACGTGCTCCCCCCAGAATGCCACAAAAGAAATTACTAAACGAGGGAGTCTTATAGGCACCCTAAGGACTGTGTGCATGTGTGTGTGTTACTGTGTGTTGTTTTTCACCAGTGATATGTGGGCCGGGTGGGGTCCCCGTCTCCACGTGTAAGGGAGCCCGGCCTGTACATCTCTGTCCGCTAGCTACAATTCCGCGGTAGCCGATGGCACTTGGAAAGAAAGCCCTCCCTACACGTCTTCAGTTCCCAGCATACACACCCACATCCACGTCCCTAAGCCTTATGTAACGAAAAGAACCACACAAACTGTAGCATCTCTCATAAGTTCTCCATCCTGCCCCCTCACACCTCTTCCCACCCCCCGCCACCCATTTCATCTTCTTCCCTGGGGAAAAAAAAATGAATAAAAATCAGCCTCAAAGAACCTTCAAAATGGGGGGGGGTGCGAAATCATTTCAGCATATTAATGAACAACAAGCACCAACAGCCCTCTCCCAGAGAAGTTTATTTTTATGCCAAATCTGCACAAGGGAAGCATTTCCAACCATACTGCTTTATTTGGCCCAAAACCTTTTTTTCTACTCCCATATTGCTCTTCCACATGCAACAAAATACACATAAAAGAAAAACAGAGTTTGAGAAAAGATGGGATGTTAACCTGAAAAGGTGTGGCTGGGGGGAAAGGCCCAGCCCCTCTTCGGAAGATTAGCACCTTCCGGGTCCCAGCTCTGAGTGGTTTGGACCAACCCCCACCTCCCGCCTGGGTAGCCTGCTTTCCTACAGGAGCCTGATGCAGAGCTGACCACATAAGGCAGGCGAATGTTAGAGGCTCTGCCTGGAAAGCCGTCCTAAGGAATAATGACTACGAGTCTGAAACAATTTGCTACAACATCTCATTGAAAGGATGTGGCTCCTGCATTAAGAAACCAGCTTCCCGGGTTTCCGTGATAGTCCGCATTCTTGTCAAACCATCCAATTCCCTTTAGAAAAATAGACTCCAACTTTCCAAAGACCTGCATTTTCAAGTGGGAGGCGAAAGAGCCCCACACGAGAAGGAAATACAATAGCATCTTTTGACAGTAATTCCTTCTATGCCAGTCCTCTGCTCCTTTCTCCCACACGATTGCATTTGGACCTTACACAATCCCACCAAGGAGACGGGACCAGGATCACCTTTCCCATTTGGAAAAGAGAGGAAAGGAACTGGAATTCAGGGTCTAGCCCACCTCATTCTTTGGCGCTTGCAGGAAAACGCAGTGATGCATACCGCTAGAGCAGAGCTAGAACTGTTATTTTAGCAGAGGAAAGCAGGATTCTCTTCCTTCAGTAGGGAGGGCGAGAGTGGAGAGAAAGCTGTTCTGTACACACGTAAAAGTTAGCCACGCACGCATAGTCTAAAAGCCTCTTTCCTTTTTTCCACATCGATCCCATGGGATGGAATTTATAAATTCCTTTACCAAAGATGTAAATGGAAGGTAAATGGATTACATTCTTGAAAATAACAAGCCACTTCTGCTCTTCCATGGGCAAATCCCTATTTATTTCCAAAGTGACGTTTGATTGAAAATGGAGATTTCAAGCTCCCACTTGTCACAAGAATCTAACTCAGAACTTTTTCTTTTCTTTTTTTTTTTTCTCATGAGCAGGGGAAGGTCAGAGAGAGAGAGAGACACAGAATCCGAAGCAGGCTTCAGGCTCTGAGCTGTCAGCACAGAGCCCAATGCAGGGCTCGAACCCACAAACCGTGAGATCATTACCTGAGCTGAAGTTGGACGCTTAACCAACTGAGCCGCCCAGGTGGCCCTTACTCAGAACTCCTTAAACAGTGCTTGTTAAAAGTGGAAGTTCCTGGGCCCCACTCCTAACCTATGATCCAGAGGGCCGGAGGGCGGAATCCTCATAGCTAAATAAGCACTCTAGAAGGATTCCTACGTAGGGTCACGCTTGCCATTTGGAGATGGAAGTCCTGCACAATTTAGCCACTGTCCTCACAGGTTTGAAAATCCCCTCAACTGCCCCCTGACACATGGGTGTGCAAATGGAGAAGGACTTCTGAGTCTCCCCTTTCTCCTGCTCTTGGCTTTATGCGGGTGTGAGCCGAGCCAACAGGTGGAGGTTGTTACGGTGCAGAGAGCACTGTAGGGGTGCGTGCACTTGCCTTTGCACCAGCCTCCGATCTGCATGGGCACCTGGACACACTCCTGTGTGCCCCGTCAACTCTACCTATTTAGCATCTTTGAAACATTCATTTTGGTGAATTTGTAAATAATTGCGTGTGAATTTTACATATAGGCTACTCATCATAACCTAGAAATGAAAAATGCTTCACTTCAACTCTCCCTGGATATGTATGGTTTGGAGACTATACAGTGAGCTCTCAAGTTCTATAAGATTAAGTAATTAAGTCTAAATAAAAGGACATTCCGAAGAATTCAACGGCACAATTTAAACAAGCGTGTTAAGCCTTAGACAGCTTTGTCATTACGAAGAGACTATGTCGGGGCTCCTGAGTGGCTCAGTCAGTTCAGCTCCTGACTCTTGGTTTTGGCCCAGGTCATGATCTCTCCGTTTTTGAGTTCGAGCCCCGCATCGGGCTCTGTGCTGACAGCAGAGCCTGCTTGAGATTCTCTCTCTCCCTCTCTCTCCTTCTCAAAAATGAATCAATAAACTTTTAATAAATAAATAGACTATGTCCATCCAAGCAGTTTGTTGGACAGCAGCCCCCCTCCCCTCCACCCTGCAGGGAGCTGGCTACCATTCCCTGCCTGGCCTGCCTCTGTCCTTTCCCAGACATGTTTTTTTCTTCTTGACAGGTCCATACCTGTGGGGCTGTGCTCCACGTTCTCCTTGAAGTGCCCATGCACTGTCACACATCATGTTCTACAGATTCCGTCCCCAGGAATTGCTGCCTGATCTAAAACTTTGCTGCCTCAGAGCAAGGGTCGATGTTCATTTTGCTTTCTCCTTCCTAGGTTTCCTCTCAGCTGGGCTGCTCTGCTCCCTCCTTCCTATCATTGGTGTGCCCTTGGCCCCCCGTGCTTTCTGGAAAAGCTCTGCTGCTCTCCGCTGCTGTCATTGCCACGGCTTCGACTGCTCTAGAGATTTCTCCCTGTGCTCTGCTGTGTCCACAATTAGGCTTCATTCTGTAATTACTAATTCTCTGAGAGCTTTTACTGTGCATTGGGCCACACTATTCAGCTTGGCAACAGTATAGCCTGAGGGTTACGATTGTTAGCTCTGGAGCCAGACGGTGGGGTGAGAAGCCCAGCGCGGATGCTCAGAGCCCAATTTTGTGTTTTTGGGCTAGTTACTGCTTTCTCGGTGACTGTTTTCTCATTTATAAAATGGGTATAATAGGGCTTCCTTCATAGGGCCATCGAGAGGATTAAACAAACATCTGAAAACTTCTTATATCTTTCTGCCTCTGCCTCTCCACTTTCCACAGCAGCCCCATGAACTGATGTTCTGACAGTAGCTCCGGGAACACAGCATCCCCACACCCAAGAGGGTGAGGGGTGGGGCAGGGGAAGTACACTCCGGTGACATCTCGCCTGGCGTTCACTGACAGTATCAAAGTAGCTTGTCCCAAAAGTTACCATGAGGCTAGGCTGCCGAAGGTCTGTTGACTCACTCTTTCTTTCAGCTCCTTAGTGTTCACTTTTCAGGGCTTAAGGCATCCCTCAAAGCTCTTCTTCCTTTCCCTTCCAGATTTTCCTTCTTATCATGCCATCCATTCATTTCATCAGGTTTTCCCAGCTTGCTAACTGTATACCATCCTATCCAAATCACACATTTAAAAGCTCTCCATAAGGGATTAGGCAAAATACTCTCTCATAATCATAACTACTAACAAGCTTTTGTTAAAAATGCTATAGCACTAGACTCTCCATATAAAGAAGTGGCTGTTTCTTGTTCTAAAGACCCTGGAAATTCCAAGTGCAGAACTCCTGGCACACACAGAATAGATACCCGAATTCGTGTTATCAGCACGATGGAGAAGTCTTAATGTCACCAGAGACCTTTTCCAATGGCAAATGTCAAACAGGCTAGTGACTGGGCCTTGTTGGAAATTTTGGGATGCTATCTGCCCCTACTCATTCCCTCTCAGTACTAAACCAGCAGCTGGGAGGATGATGAAAATAGGAAGCTGTATTTCCAGCCAGCAAGTACCCTAAAATACAGTCTTTTGAAATTTGTTGATAGGCCGATGTGGTTTTAGTCTGAGCCCAAAAAGGCTTTCACCTACCTCTCTCTGAATGTTAACCTTGAGAAGAGCCTGTGGAAAAAGATGGGTCTGTAGAGCATTCATTCATTCAACAAGTATTTGCTAGATACCTACTACATCCCATGTGCTGTTCCAGGTACTAGGGATAGAGCAGAGAACAAAACAGACAAAACCTCCCTGTCCTTATGAAGTTGAGTAAGTTTTATAGCTTGTTGGAAAGCAATAAGCAAGATGAGAGAGACAGTGACTGAGGGGTGAAGGTCAAGGAGAGACTCAACAAGAATGTGATGTTTGAGCAAAGATATGAAGGAGGTGATGATGTGAATCATGCAGATATCTGGAGGAGGCATGTTCTAGGCACAGGAAAGAGCAAGTGCAAAAGTCTCGAGGTGAGAACATACCTGAGTGTTCCAGGAACAGCTAGAGATGAGTTATGGCTCCCGGGAAGAATGTGCATGTACGCATTAAGGAAAGGGTAGGAGGAGACAAGGGTAGAAGTAGTGGTGGGTCAATTCATTTGGCCTTGTGAACCTTGTCAGAACCTAGACTTTTCCTTTGAGCAAATTGAGGAGCAACTGGCTGGCTCTGAGCAGAGGAGTGACATGATTTGACTCTCGCTAAACTGATGACTCTGACTGCCATTGAGAATCAACTATAGGGAGTGAGGATGAGGCAGAATAGATAAGGTGAGAGGCTATTAAAATAGCCCAGGTGAGAGATAAGCAGGACTAGACCCAGAGTGGAGGCATTGGAGGTGGAGGAAGGGGTCAAATTTTGGTATAATGTTCTGAAAGTAGAGCCATCGGAATTCCATGGGAAGTGGGTAGTGAGAGAAAGTGAGGAGTCAAAAAGGATCCCAAGGTTGAGGGCTTGAACAGCTAGAGCAGCGAGCTCAGCTTTACTCAGATGGAGAGGAGTTTGGGAGAAAGACCAAGAGTTCACTGTTGTCTGTGATAAGCGCAGGGTGTCTATCAGATATCTATGTGAAGAAGTCAAGAAAACCATTAGGTGTTCAGGTCTGCAGTTCACAGGAGAGGTCCAGGGTAAAGACAGAAATGTAGGGACCATGAGCATATTCATGGTGGGTAGACTGGAAAGCATCATTGGGGAAGAGGAGAAGAGGTCCAAGGACACAGTGCCAGGATGCTACACCTTCAACATTCAGGAGGAGGAGGAGGAGGAGAAGCCAGTGAACAAGACTGACAAGCAGCAGTCGGGGAGGGTGGAGAAAATGTTTCAAAGAGAATAGAGTGTCAGGTGTGGCTGATAGCCCCATGGGTCAAATAAAATGTTGGCTCTGAACTGATCTTAGGATTCAGTGATGTGGAAGTCATTGGTGACCTTGACAAGTTTCCATGGGGCCGCAGCCTTCTTGGAGAAGCTGCAAAGCAGAACGGGAGGAGAAAAGACTCTCGTTACTGACAATGTGGTCCTCAGATCAACACCATCCATCCTCTGGGAGCTTGTTAGGAATACAGGATCTCAGGCTCCTGCCCCAGACCTACCAAATCAGAAGCTGCTTTCTAACCAGATGCCTGCAGGATTTTCATGTGTGCTAAGACTTAAGAACCCGCAGGAGAGACTCCCCTTATATTATGAAGAGAACAGTAGGACAGAAGCCGAAGGGAGAGGTGGGGTCAAGAGATGGTTGTTTTCTTGTTGTTGGCAGTGGTGGTTTGTTTGTTTTCAAAGATGAGAAAAATAATGGTATGTTTATAGGCAGATATCTAACCCAACCAGTAGGTAGCCTGCCTGACACTTCTGTCCCCAGGAAGACAAAGACAGAAACAAGAGCCAGTCTCAAAATGTCTCCTTAACATTGTGACTTCACTCTGTGGCCACGTAGATGTCAGACTTCCCATCTTAGGATTAGATAAACTGCCCCTCCCTTCTCTGGCCTGCGGAAAAGCAGCAGAAATGGCCTTTCTCGGGCTCCCTTCTGCCGAGAACATGGTGGCTCAGCTTAGTAGTGTAATTATTCCCTTTTATTTCAGGTTTAGAGGGTGGCCGAGCCTTCTTTAATGCAGTCAAAGAAGGAGACACCGTGATATTTGCAAGTGATGATGAGCAAGATCGCATCTTGTGGGTCCAAGCCATGTATCGGGCCACTGGGCAGTCACATAAGCCGGTGCCCCCGACCCAAGTCCAGAAACTCAACGCTAAGGGAGGGAACGTGCCTCAGCTGGATGCCCCCATCTCCCAATTTTGTAAGTAAATACGCCATTCGTTAAAAATAGCTCTGTAGAGGAAAGCAAATTTTCTGAAGTCGAATTAGAAAATCTAGTTGCTTTTATGTTAAGGATTCATAAAATCATGTTTGCTGGGAATAAAAAAAGATTAATTCAGGGGGAAAAAGTTGGAACTAAAATGTAGATGAAAGTAATTTTAAAGTGCAATACTTGACATTCCCCCCCCAAGGCCTAAACAGGAAAATATATTTTAGGTGTATTTTTATCTCTTTGTTTTGGGGAGTGTTCGGAATTCACAGCCAGGCTTGTATTTGTTCGAGTCCTTCAAATATAGTAGGTTATGTATGTATGTCCTTGACTCATTTCTTCCTATTAAAAGTAATTTTAAAATAGGGCTTGATTTGAAGTAAATTTAAATCTGCAACTTAGAACCATTTAAAAATAAATGATGACATTATCACATGCAGTGGAAAAAACAAAACAAAAAAAATGGTACCTAAAACCCCATTCTGAGCAAATATACCAGGACCCAAAAATGAAGCTGTCTCATTAAATGGCCCTGGTTCATTTTCCAGTTCCTTTCCCTTTTACCTCTGTATCCCTTTTAATGTCTTGCCCCTTTGCCGTGACTTTTTGATACCTAGGAGAGTATTTTTTGCTTCCCTCTCCCAACACTTCTGATACATGAGGCAAGGTGAAATCCAACATGCACTTGGAGACATTTATTAAAACAACGGAAATGGAAACACTGGAAACATAAAGCACCAAATAAAGTCATTCATTTTAGTTACAACGTCAACTGGAAATAGAGACTTCTGCCTTGCCCTGAATATCAAGTCATTCGGGGATCACTCAGGTACAAGTCATGTTTAGCAATCAGCATGATGATTCCTTACTTTAGCAAGAAACCTACTCAGTCAGGTTCACAGAGACAACCATCTAGGTCATGAGATATACAACTGAGGAAGGCAGATGAGGTCCCTGCTCTCAGGATACCTCTGTCCCAGTGAAGGAGTCTAGCCAGCACCCAAATCAAAAAGTAAATAAGATAGCGGTAGATGTTGAAAACTACGAAGAATATAATGCAGTGGTGACTCAGTGGAGAGAGATGATCTGAACTTAAGCCCAAATGATAGGATGTCAGCTCAAAAATACCTTCGCAGCAGGTAGGAAAGCAATGCAAAAGCCCACAGCAGAAACTTGACCTTCAATGCAGTGGTTCTACATAGTCTCTCCCCTGTCGCTCTTAAGCAAATTATGCATATGATTTGAAGTATTTTACAGCTACACAACTACAGAGAGGTGAATTTTCTTTCCTAATGGATTCCACTGCCATGTCTATTTCTGTGTTCTTGTAACACCCTTGCTTATGAGGGGAAAAAAAAGAACAACTCTTTTTGAATGAGAAACACTATGTATCAGGTGCTCCCAGGAATTCCTGTCCAGTACCAATGGTTTCTTAAAGAAAGATGTGTTACCCGTGGAACATTGTGGATAATCACACAATCACTATGGGTTTCCATGCAGAAAATCCCGAAAGAAGGAGGAGGAGGTTGAGGAAGGGCTTTGGGGTAAGGGACAACCCTCCTGACCATAACCACCACCATCTTCCCCACTCTCTCCCTATTTTCTCTACCATTTGTGACACTTAGGTTTATCTGAGAGCAATAAAGAGAGAAGGCAACATCTTTTTCTATGGTTTAGTCAGGAGTTGAGATGAAGCATACCCAATATTTATGTACTTTGTTTCAGAAAACAGTCTGTGATGGAATCCTTCCTTTCACCCTGTCTGACAGGCTCCATTTTAATAAATTTAGAACCAACACATCCTATCATGCTTCTCTGAAATGGAATTAGGTGCACATCAGAGGAGCAAATTCCTAATTGTAATCACCACACAAATCAACTTCATAGAACATGTACCTCAGTGGTATTTGAAAAATACTGGTTTTATTTCCAAAGAATCTCAATTTCTTCTGAAGTCATTTCACCTGCCCTTCAGTGTTTCTGTTCTGCCATCTGCCCAGGTCAAGAAATCACTGCTTCCTTTGTGATTAGCCTCACTTTTTTCTCACCAATGTAGGAAAGAGGAAGGAACTCAGGAGTAAAATTAAATGGAAACCAGGTACTGATTTAAAAACAAAGAAGAAGAAGAAGACCACTGATGGAGACTGATGAAGAGGATGTCTCCCTCATGGAAATACTGGAAATACACAGGGGCTCTTGATTAGATTTCCCTCCGTGGATAAGATTCATTTCACAAGGAAATTAGAATACTAGTCATTAGGCACAGCAGGAAGATATATCACTGCCCTAGTTGACATAGGGGGTCTTGTGTTCAATGGAGAATCCGAAGCAAAATTCTAAAGGTTAGAATATGGGTAATATCATCCCTAGGGAAGCATGGGAGGTAATAGGTAATATCATCCCCAGAGAGCATGGGAGGTAGACTGAGAGATAAGTGAGAAGGTAATTCATGCCTCCAGAATTTGTCAGTACCTTGTGGTAGACACCTTCTCTGGTGTCTTCTTAATCACTGCTCAGGATCAGGGGTTCTCCAAAGAGTGTGAGAACCTCCTATACCTCCAGGTTCTATAAGTACAAAGCTACCATGTTCATCCATGCAGATTGTGCACTTCATTAGTCACTTTGCACACAGACAGTAATATGAATGGTGCCTGTTGAGTTGTGCAGTGCCCAATCTACACAACTGTGTGCCATGAACCTGTAATGAATGATAGTCCTTACCCAGAGCTTTAGTCCAATAATATTGAACCCAAGAATCTCACAGTTCCTTTACTACTCCTAAAACAGAGGCTCAGCACCCTTCCAGATTCTATTGCTAGTTTAGGCACTTACTAAAAACTGCAGCCAGAGTAGTGAGGCTTCTTTTCCCATAATTTAGCAAAGGAATCCAGTCAAGATTTTAACCAACCCAGCCTTTTGCATCACATTTGATCATTTATACTTAGGGATATAGAAAACCCATGATAAAGACTTTTTTTTTTTTTTTTTAAAGGAACAAGGAACTTTACATTCTGTAGTGCCACTGAGTAGCTATGCATAACAATAAAAAACTGGCTGGGGGTTGGAGATTCTATCATAATTATAGGTGGAATCTGCCACAAAATGGGGATCGTGTCGTAATTACTTTATAGCTGCATTGAGTTTGTTAAATTCAAACCATCACCATGAAACAGATCAGGCTTTATCTATGGGTAGTGGCCATACTTACATGGTTGATTCACACCTAGGGTTACCACCTTATCCAGATTTGCCCATGTCTTCCCTGGTTTTAGCACTGAAAGTTCTGTATCCCAGAAACTCCTTGGACTTGGGCAAACTGGGAGAGGTGGGTCATCTGGAACTACAGAGCCAGGCTCTAGAAAAATGAAAAACAATCACAGCATTGTACTAACTAGCAAACGTTGATCCTTCACTGGATATTTGGCTCTATATTGTCTACATTGTCACATTGCAAACATTCAGGTACCTGTTCTGGAACCCCATGAGCAAAATCAATCAAGTATTGCATTTTAAAAAAAGGTTTCCTTGACTCCCAAAAGGTAAGGGTCATTGCTAAATACCTAATTCTGTACACAGTTCATCAAATCCAGTATCTGTTCAAAGTATTTGCCACTCTTGCAAGTGAATAATTTTTAGGAACAGCGTTTGAGTGAGTGAACTCTGTAATCACTTTATTAGTATTACTGGCAAAGGGAAGCTAGAGACAAATGGGAGAGGTTTTTTTTGGGTAGAGAAAAATAAACACTCCAGTCTTGCCCTGTCGCTGTCTGCTCAAGGGTTATTTGAGAATGGATCATCTTATAGTTTGGGAAGCTTGGGAGTAATTATGAGTTTATTTGGGTCTTTCTAAATTCAGATTGACAGACTTCTGGGTACAGTTGTTATTTTTTTGCCATATCAAAATGAAAAGACACATCTAAGAAAGAGTGGAGTGGAGTATTTCCATGGAATTGTAAAAACCAAAAGAAAAAAAAAATAGATCCTGCTATTCATTCGTTTGTATGTGACTCTACATTGATCTGGGGAGGGTTCCACCAAACTTTAAACCTTTTTTTGTTCTTTTGTGGTTTTTTTGGTGTGTGTCGTCATTGATTTAATTTCCCCCCTTTCATTTTGGTTACACCGTGAAAAAATTAAGTCAGTGGCTAGTTACCCAATGGTTTTAAACCAATATTTGCAATGTTCCAGTTTTGAAGGCCAGTGTCGCTCACCTTGGAAACTATGTCCGAATCTGTCGTTGAGGGTTGCCACCATTTATTACGCCAAGTGGCCCCTCACTGAGAGATCTGATTCCCGTCCAATCTGTGTTAGAGGAGCACTAACAATCAGTCCCTCCATTCTCATGTGGGGTTGGAGTGGGGGAGGTTTAAGCTTTGCTCTTGGGTCAATGATTACTTGATATATCCCTTGAAATGGGTCTCCTTTTAATGTCTGTTGCTCAAACTAATAACTGTTAATCACATCATACATCCCCCAAGTTGGATGTTTTTGAGAACCGTTCTATTTTTGCTGTCACCCGAACAGCCTTCGACAGTCAGCTGGGTGTCGGGAACTGTTGGTTTTGGAGGGAGGGTTGATTTTGGTTTTTGTTTTATTTTGTATCATTTACGTTTTCTTGTTCAATCTTTGCTCAAACCCGAGAACTTTAGCTGCTAGGTTAGAACTCCTGTCTGCTTTCCTGAGCCTTGTTGCTAGTCTTTATGTTATTCTGGTTTGTTCCTTCTTACCCTGCTAACTTCTAGCTGGACTGAAGGGTAAGTGTTCCCCTATAGCTAGCACAGCTCAGATAATCAGACTAGATTATCTGACACCTGCAATGTGCTTCCTCCCCATCCTCTTAAATCTCCCTCATGTCTAAACTTTGTAGTAAAACTTTTCATGTTATTTTCCTGACCTTAGATTTGAACTGTAAGCTTCCATACCGAAACTAGGATGCATGTGATGTGTGCATAATTGCCTCCTCTCCTTGGCTTTCATATTGGCATCAAATGATCCTCTGAGTAAAGCCAACCGTTAGCATCTCCTAATTGTTTTTGTTCCAAGAATATGAATTAGCATCACAACAAAATGGCAAATAATGCCTTTGCTTCATGGAATTTACAGCTACCTGACTGCTTAATGCCTGAAAACAGATCATTTTGCACTCTGATAATGTGTTGTTTCTCCTCTCCCATTCCCAAGATTAGCACGGTCAGAGGGGTCTGTGGGCCGGTAACTATGGATACATTAACAGAGAGAAAGGTGGGGTAGGGGGCCCAAAGAGGTTATCTGACCAAGATTTCAAGAAAGCGCAGAATACTATTAATAAAGTAAATGCATTATATGAACACTAAAGAGGCCGTTCTACTTGATGGGAGGGTGTGCTCTAAGTAAGACCCCAAAAGAGGATTAATTTTTCAAAGGAGAGCTCTAATACATGGGACAACCACACACACATACACAAACAGGAAATTAGGGACATGATCGAGTCTGTATAGTTGATTCACAAGAGCTTCAGCTTCACCATCTCACAATAGCTCAGAGGGTTTGGACCTCTGGTAGCAGCCTCTCTGCTACCCGCCCAAGAACAAGGATAGCAATAACTTTTACGACGTCACTTGTATTTGTATTAATTTCTCTTAATATGCACCTGTGATAGAAAAAAGAAACTTTGGGGGCGCCTGGGTGGCTTAGTCGGTTAAGCGTCCGACTTTCACTTAGGTCATGATCTCGCGGTTCGTGGGTTCGAGCCCCGCGTCGGGCTCTGTGCTGACTGCCAGCTCAGAGCCTGGAGCCTGTTTCAATCTGTGACTCCCTCTCTCTCTAACCCTCCCCTGCTCACGCTGTCTCTCTCTCTCTCCTAGAAATAAAACATTAAAAAAAAAAAAANGCCTGTTTCAATCTGTGACTCCCTCTCTCTCTAACCCTCCCCTGCTCACGCTGTCTCTCTCTCTCTCCTAGAAATAAAACATTAAAAAAAAAAAAAGAAAAAAGAAACTTTAAAACTCAGAAAAACCTTTCTCTTCGCTGAGTTACTGATGAAAGAGAAGCCACAATTCCTTTATTCATAGAGGGAAAAGCTGTCTGTCCACCCAATGTGTTGAGGGAAGACTTGACCTTAGAAGGAAATAGAAAAATCAGTCAAGAGAGCAGGCAAATATGTACTTGAGTATTCTGAATGCTGATTTAGAAACCATAGGTCATATCATTTCTCCTGCCCATTTGATAATAGTACTTTCTTCTAACTCTTTCCGTTTCTTTAATTTGCTTTCTTTACCCCTTTCTTTCTTTTTTCTTTTGTTTTGCATAAATGTACCCCTGGCTAGCAGACAGATTTTTTTTTCACCACTCCAAGCAGATACTTAATTTAACTTTACTTTACTTTGAATGTCTGATGAGGCATTTTAAAAGCTTACCATAGAATGTGAATATAGCGGGAATTTAGGATTTTGCTCTACTTTTTTTTTAAAAAAAGAATGAAAGAAAGGATGGATGAATAGATGATTGAATGAATTCTGTTCTGAGCGATTTACATATATTTGCACAACAACGCATTGCTATCCTAGTAGATTTCCAAATAGTTGTTTGCCTTTATTCCTTTCTATAGTTTTATCTCTGAGAGTTTTGCTGTATCTTCTTATATTGTCAACTTGCAGTTGCTACGTTGCAGGAATGGAATACCAAAGAATTAACTCAATGCCAAATTAATTCGCATGACCCCAAACCACACTGTAAATCACTTTCCTTCTCATTGCAAAAGTAAATGACTTTTTAAAAAAGAATAGACTCCCACAATTAGGTCGAAAAATTTCCAAACACCATAATAGGATCTACACAGTGCATGTTAAATGAAGGTTCATGTCTCTGTTAACTGTTTCAGGCACATTTTAAATGTATTATTCATTAGTCAGCTGAGCGCACTCACGTCATATAATGATTTACAGTAAGATACATTATTAATTAGCCAACTACAGAAAGTTTATTTTTGTTCATGTCACAGGGAACATAAAGACATCATAAAGTACTCTGTAAATTCACTGAAAATGTAATAACTACAGCAGGGAAAATTACAGATCATTTACTTATTCATTTTGAGATCATTGACAAAATCTCTGTTCTTATTTTTACTCAAAGCAGCTCTCTTATACAGAATTATAAAAAACTAACTGGAAATAAACATCACATGTTTATCCCCTGGGTATACCGCCACAGTAGTTTTAAATTCAAGATTTTTGTGCAAAGTGCACTGTGGGCCTTCATAGCTTCTGAGAAGCCATGCTGTCTTGGCCATGCAAGTTAACTTGACTGAGTCAAGGGCACCGTGAAGGAATTAAGTTGTTTCTCAAGGGCAGGAGGCATGGGAAGACCAATCTTTGACTTGCAATGCAGAGCTCAGGCAGGGTACAACATCCCCTCATTACTTGATCAGGCGAAGAAAAACTCTTCTAGAAAAATCTGTAAACAGCCAGCTGCCATCAATCATTGTCATTTCTTTATTTCATGTCTTCTGATGAGGTTGACTACTGTCATTGTTCGTTATTGTCCAGACCATACATTCACTCTGGCACTGTCAAGCAGATATGACAAGCACACATTTTCCATATAAGAGAGATACAAAGTCACCTTTTAATTTGCAGTTGGGGTTCACAATGACTTTAGAGTCACATTAGCTATTCTCTTGCCTCTAGCATCCATCAGGAATAAAGCAGCTATAACCGTGCTCTAAATTTCAGTGATAAAGCAGCTACCTTTAGCTTTTTATAAAAGCAATTCATTAGATAAAGGAGCCTCAGACAATTTACTAACAGTACAATAATTGTTTTTAACCACAGACTTTCGTTTTTCCTAGCATATGAAATGTTCCAAAACGTAATATTACCAAATGAAAAGAGAGAGATGACCTTTTGTCTTCATTCCCTTGGCTGTTAGAATAAGAGGAAAATCTCAATAAAATGAAAGTTTGAAAGCTGCATTAGTCCCTCCCCCCCAAGAAAATGACATTTATTTGGTAGACATTATTGCAAACTTATCTAAAAAAAAATGGTATGTCTGAAACAAGATCACACACATATGCTTGTTATTAAAATAAGAGATCATGAAAAATACATGTTTTCCATTCTAAGGAAGAAAAGGGAAACCAGTATCAAACAGGAAATAAACCCAGGCATCATGATCAATTAAAGAACAACATAACTAGTAGGGTTACCAGTTAGTGACAGCAGTTGGATTTTAATGGAGTAGATTAAATGAGAGTATAAAATCCACGTAATCATATCACTTTAGGAACCAGTAGTTTCCCAACATTCCTTAAATGCCAAACCAACATTGTTTCTGAGCAAACTTGGGGTAAAGTTTTGATTAGTTTCCACTTGAAAGTGCACTTGCCTGCCTTAAGTCCATCAGCCTGCTTCTGTGTCATGGATACCATTAACAACGCTTTAAGTTTCTTACTGTAGTTTAGGTACGTATGTCAACTTTATTCACCTAAGATTAGTCTGAAGTCATCAGTCATCTCTATGCCCGTGCTATACAGGACTTCAAAATCTTTATGCAGCTAAACCCCAGAAGGAAAACAAGTAGCATTGTTTGGAAGATGTGTTGAATTATGCCCTACCTACAGAGCCTATAAAATTACACGGCCAATTTTTAGGACATTTGGAGCCCTTGCAATCCAAGGAAAACTTAGGAACCATTCAGCCAGGTCTGGAAAAGGCAAAGGTTGAAGTCCGTTTTTAAAATGCACCAATCCTGAATTTCTTTAAAAAAACAAACAAAACCCCCACGTACTCATGAAAAAGAGCATTGGTATGCATCTCCCAAAGCAAGAGATAATCCAAACATCATTGGAGATTTCAGCAGCCACTTTAGACTCCTAATTCTGTTTTCCTTACCCTAAGTGTTCAAATTCATTTTCATTCTCCTGACACAAGCCAAACATTGGCAAAGGAAGCGATCCCAAGGTGTCCTGAATTCGGAAAGTCACTTTCTTGTATTTTGCCTCGGGCTGTTTTCCCCTTGCTAACGGCAGCCTTGGAGTTTTCTTTTCTCTTTAATCAGCCAGTTCCAATTGTTGGTACAGGGGGAAATGGAGTTGTGAGGAGCATCTATTTTGTAATGTTGGGCACTGTGGGAGAACAGACTGGGGCAGTGCATGAATGACTATATGGTGTTGCTTGGGAAGCACCCACAAGTTCTTTGAAACAGAATTTGGAACAGCTGGACCACTGCAGTGTTTTATTTTAAAATAGACAACATATGTAATGCATATGGTCCTAGACATGTATGGAGACACAGGCAGACAATCTGAATGGTATCCAAAGACACCTGCACCTAGAATTCTGTTTCCTTCTAGAAGATTTTTTTTTTCCCCGAAGAGCACATGTTCCCACTTTTGGATTTGCAAGATGCCATCTGAATCCCCATGTGTGTGACTCCTTAATAAAGTCAATGGGAAGTTTCCTGGGATGGAAGTGTCAGAATGAGTCAGTTAATAAACACCACCTCAGGACCTGGGTCCTCAGAATGCTGGCAGGGTGGAAAGAACAGACCAGCAACTTGCCTTCAAGGAACGAATTACCTAGCAAGGGATTCGACTTGTATGTGGGCATTCTGACCACAGAAAAACCGGAACGTAAACCACCAAGAACACAGAGACAGGACGTGGGAATTAGTTGTGCAAGGGCAGAGAAGAAGTACAATGCAGAGAGGCTGGGAAGGCTCCCAGCTTCCTTGAAGCAATATGGCTTAAGAAGCAACCTGTAACGAACATTAGCCATAAATACAGAGACATCCTTGGCTCGCTGGAAACGTTAAACAAGCTGGCTTCAGGAGCACTGAGAAATCTGCCCACTCACTCACAGCTAAGGTTCATTGAGCACTTACTGTGTGCCAGCTGCCCAGGTGCTTCTCAGCAGAATCTCTCAGCAGCCTTCCCCGGGTAGAATCAAACACTCTTCTCAACTGACAAATGAGGAGGAAGACACTGAGAAGCACCAAGCAGTCTGCCTCACATCACATCCCTAGTAATGACAGGGCTAGCCTCAAATTCAGTCTCTGTGACCCCTTAAGCCCACCCACTTAACCGCCTGCTACCCTAGCTCAAATAAACTGCTCACACTGAATTTAGTCTATCAACACTTCGTTAAATCAAGAAATAGAAAATATTTGTTGGAGTGAATTTATTTATTTTGATGAAATAAATCCACTCTTTTAACACATATGTTTCGAGTGCCTGCTGTGCACCAGGTACTGAGAGGGACTTGTTCTAGGTGCTGGGGATACGTATAGCAGGGAAAAAAAAAATACCCAAATCCCTGCTGGCATCGAAGTTAAAATGAGACCCCTTCCCCTGACACCTTAAAATAGTGTTCTTGCTCCCCTCCCCACCCCATTCCACTTCCTTTTTCTGAAGAAAATAAGCTCGATGAGACTCTCAAAGATTTCATGGTAGCCAGCCACCCTTTTAAGTGCTCTTGAGTTGTTGGAACCATTAAGATAATGAGGCTAAATCTGAGTAAATGATGATTTTGTGTAAGCAAAATCCAGAGGCTGTTCATTTTACCTGCTGGAAATTCTCGCTGCATTAAGCGCCATCTTACACTTGTAGACAGTATGCAAAGAGCTTAAGAAAAGTTAAATGACAATGACCTCAGCAAGGGATGTGAAAATTCGGCTCATTTTACACCTAAGGAAACTGAGTCTCCAAGACCCACAAGCTGGAATCCCTCAGCTATTTAAAAATAGAGCTCAAAGGAGACCCCAGGCCTCCCAGAGCAGTCCCAGGCTCATCTCCATGTGGACAGAGAGAGAGAAGGAAGGAAGGAAGGAAGGAAGGAAGGAAGGAAGGAAGGAAGGAAGGAAGGAAGGAAGGAAGGAAGGAAGGAAGGAAGAGAGAGAAGGGAAAAGGGATTTTCTGAAAAGGAACACAGGCTGACTTTAAGCATATTTTTTCTGGAAGCCTCCTTTCAAACGTAAGTAAAGGCAAAATCGTTCTTTAGATGTACTCCAAGCCAGGAATTAGCCCGGTGAAGCTGTATTGTGATAACATCGGGGAGGCGGAGAGTGGATCTGTAGCCAGGTCTCCGCGGAGGAGCCAACTTGCCGTTTCCGCTCCGTTTCCTGAGTGGGCAGGCAGCAAGGCGAAATAGTTCATCGCAAAGTTTTCAAGAGGCTCAACAAATAAAGAAACAGAGACTCGAAACCTGTGTCATACACTGAAAGCTACGGAAGAAACCCCCTTCTCTCTGAGCTAAATGACCGCTTACGCCATCGTAACTGAAGAGCAGTAAAGTAGCCGAGCCAAACTGGCAAAGTAAGGCCCGGGCCGACTTGTCAGCTTGCAGCCTCTTCAGAGAAATCCGAGAGCAAGAAGCTGGTGCTAGCCAAAATGCCTCCTCTCTCTGTTAAAATTGGGAGGCACGAGATGGGTGAGGCTTTTTATGAGGATGAAATAGGATGAGCAATTAGTGTGCTCCGCTGTTAGTTTTCCTCGATGAAATTGACCTGGGACTGACCGGAAGGAGGTGGGAAGGCATCATCTGTCCTGAAGGATGGACAGGTACCACCTGGGTTTCAGGTTCGCCTTCCTGGCAGGGGAGATTTAAAGTTGGAGCAGGTTTAGGACGCTTGCCTCGGGCCAGAGGAGTCTCACACAGACATAGTCTAGAAGCAGCTAGCTTTTTTCCCCAGCATCAACTTCCCGGCCACCCCTCTTGGTAGCCATCCGGAAGTCAGAGGAGAAATACAGCTTGGAGCCCAAACAACCAACAAAGAATCCTCACATATAAAGCACCTAACTTCACATTGAAAGCTCTTTCTTGAAGACAAATCGGAGGCAATTAACACAGCAGAGAGAATTCTTTCAGATTCTCTAATATAATTCTCACACGTGTGATATTCCTTCCAAAGGCTTGCGTTTTATCATCCTCATGGAGCAACTTGGCTATTAAAATACGCATTCTTCAGTCTGTCTTCTGGATGCCATTGCTTCTGTGTGTCTAGGGCATAAACAACACATCTCGTTCAAACACTGACCACTTGCTGCTTTTATGAAAAACGACTAGAGATTTTAAAAATCCAACAGTAAGAGGGCGAAAATCTGACACACCGTGGATTTAGGTCTGAATGATACACCAAGTCAGTAACCCGATGAGAAATATTCAGCTTAAAGCCAGCCTGCTACCAAAATTTAAGTCTTCAGTCATACCCCAAGCATAGAAGGGGGCGGGGGAGGGGTAAATGCCTGCGATAAAGGCCATATATGAAAATATATCCAAACACTCTCTCAAGTCAGAAATTGATTTTCCTCCTGTCCAGACAGTAGTCTGGCCCCAGGCAGGTCCCCCTCTTCTGGTAGAATATTGCATTCGAGGGGATAAATAAACTCTTGCTTAATTTGATATACAATGCTTTTTCTTTGCAGTGAGCATAGCAGGAATCAGTGAACATGAGGTGGAGTGAGCGAATTCCTGTAATGTGTAGGCTCTTCATTCCTACCTCTCCGGGATTTGCTTGTTCTCACTTGAGTTGAATTCTGAGTTATTTTGCCGATTGAGTATAGAGTATTTTAGTTACACATATTGAGATTAATTAGTTAGCCCTTAGGAGGTTTTGCTTGCAGCCTTCACCCTGTAAGAAAAAGTGTGAATACATTGAGACTATTAATTCACAATAAATGGCAGATCATAGCCCTCGCTGAGTAAATCTGTTTGTCTCTTTCATAAGCTTTGCTAACTGTAAGCACACTATAAGGCAATGACCTTGGCTATCACAAACTAAATTCCCATTTAACTTATTCTCCAGGTTTCAATGAAAATCTTTTGTTATTATTATTTTTTTTTTAGTTTTGGAGGGCGGGGACCCAGATCTTTTGTGAAACCAAATTGGCAATGGGGATTTGGAAGGGGAGGATACAAATATTGTCACTTGGCTGAAAATCAGCATAACTCTTTTTCCAGATAATCCCAATAATTGTAGAGAAATTGCTCTAGACATAACCACTGGAATGGCAGAATCTATTAAAAACCTAAAAAAAAAGAAAAGCTAACTAGGCTTTTATAAGCAAAGATCCGATCTGCTTTCAGTGTTTGGTGAATTGCAGGCGAAGTTACGGTCGTGTGCTTAGTTTTTAAAGAGCAACATAAATGCACTGGAGTTGTGATCATTTGATAAACATATTGATGCCAATATATTTTTGCCTAAATGCAATAAACTCACCAGTAAGTGATGCAAGTTGACAATGGGAGGTAAAAAGAATATCTTGCGGATGTTGGTGGGAGGCAAAGGGGAAACAGCTAGCATTCATAATGTCTAGTGAATTCCTGTGTGTTTGAAATGTCAAAGAAAATGTGATGTGTTTCTCTAAATTGTGTCTCTCTCTACATGTATAAATGAACAGACGCAGATAGAGCTCAAAAACATGGCATGGATGAATTTATCTCTTCCAACCCCTGTAACTTTGACCACGCTTCCCTCTTTGAGATGGTGCAGCGCCTTACTTTGGATCACAGACTTAATGATTCCTATTCTTGCCTGGCAAGTATATTCTTTGGTCTACAGCAATTTAAACATGATGAACATTTTTTTAAATACAGTTATTTCTCTACCTTTATATCAGAAGCTCTCTTCTCTGTTACAGAGCCCCTTTAACAATTGCAAAATGTGTTCTTGATTTCCTGGGTTGATCTAGTTTTACTTACCAAAGAAAGAAGACAGAGCGGGAGGCGGTTATCAGTAGAGATGGATCCAATTCCCCAGCCTCCCCATCTAAGCTTCCCCCTTTTCAGCTGCTACATGAGAAATATTCCCAGGAGGGTAATCGAGTTTGGCACCTGCTTGTGGAGAACTTGTAAAAATTGCCTCGGTTTCTTAGACTTTAAGATTCTCCCTCCCTCCCCTTCTCAGATGATAAGACCCTGTGCTTCGGTCTCAGAAATGAATGTGTTCTTTTTGTTTATTTTTCAAAAATCAAAATGATTTGTACATAAACTTCACTTCACTTTTCAGAAGCTAAACTGGTTTGGATTTGTTTGTTTGGATGGCTTCTTGTTATCCAGAGCCTTCAAAGCATTTTTCACCCTTTGGGGGAATTTTTTGGTGCTTTAGACGTTAAGAAGTCCAGCTCTCCTGCAAGAGCATCACCATTTCTTGAAATCCTGCTCTGAGCCTAGATTTAAATCATTTAAATTCAAGGGACAACTATTATGTCTTTTTAAAAATTCTGTCTTTATTGGATTCCTGAAGATATATTTCGGGCTTTATACTTATCAGATTCAGAAGCCTAAAAAAGACCCAGTTTATTTCCTTTTATAAACCATCAATTGTTACTTCATTTCTTAAAAGGAAATGGTATAATCCCACTCTATAGATGGGAAAGGTGAGGGAAAATAATGAAATGACTTTATACAGAGGAAAAGGCTCATCCCTGACTCTGCTAAGGTTAATATGTCTGTATAGTGTAATGTTATATAATTTACTATCGGTAACATGTTATTGACGGTAATGCTAATATAATGAATATGTGTTTCTTTCCCATGACACGCTATTTCTTAAATCTATTCTTACTACTTTTTATTTTAAATTCCGTTTTTTTCCTGTAACCAGAAGCCAAACTATTAAAAATAGTAGATAAAATAGTCTCAAAAACAGAAACGGGATTATATGGAATAATTTATTAATCTGCGTCTCATAAAAGATTCATTGATGATCTTGGGTTTAGAATCACTTCATCAGAAGAATCTGAACTTTGCCAAATTGGAAAGGAACACATCACTTTGACTTCAAAAAAAAAAAAAAAAAAAAGCTTACCTTGCATTGCAAGGCAATTTTTCCCAAACGTGTTTCCTGTGATTATGTGATTATTCACATAATTATAAGTTGCTTTCATGAAAGTTGTAAGAATATGCCACTGAGCTTAAATCATTCCCTTTAATGTATAATTCCTATTCTCTTGAGGAATTTTTTTAAGGTGTATTATCTTCAAGACTTTTTTCACATCATCATTTTTTAAAACAATTTTCTTTTTCACCAAGAGATTTGTCACTAAGAAGAGTTAGTAAATGGCCTCCAAAAAATTAAACCAGAAGTGAAATTGTGAAACTTGCTTCACATTAATCATGTGTAGGCTTAAAAATATGCTCCAAAATCCACAATTAATTATGAATAGCGTAAAATCGTCTCCTCCTGCATTTTTATACCTGTATCTATTAATCATTACCCCAACATTTCAGAAAATAACAGCAATTAAAAGAACCTTATCTCCTGCCTGCCTCTATATATTTCATTTTCTCATTATTACAATCTCTTTTTTTTTCAGTTAGTTTTGGAGACCGACCAGCAGGGATACATAAATTTTTCTGTGTCTTCGACTGAGTTCCTAATTGATATTTCTTCAACTCTTTTCAAAGCAGCTATTTTGGCATCTACAAAAGACTTGGTGTCATCTGAGTCGTAGAAAATATATTTTAATCTTTCACAGCAGTGTTGTTTCTAAGATTTAGCATTTGGGGTAGCAGATGGAGTGGCAAAGAAGTTGCCTATAGGGGCAGCCCACTGCCTCGACTACTCTCCCGCCCTTCGCAGTAACTTATAATTTGAAATAGGAAAGATGCCGTCTTGCGTTGGATGCATTGCTAAGCTGCGTGTTGTCAATCGAAGATTCCCCAGATCACTGATACGAGATCAGAGTGTTGCAGAGGCCGCCCTCTCCGCACTTCTGTGGCCCACCCCTGCCCCCGTCACCGTCTCCTTTTGCGTTTTCTCTCCCGAGGAGGGGCAATATTCAAAAGACTTAGGACCCTAAAAGTAAAATTAGATTTATATTTAAAATAATTCTAAATTCCCAGCTTACCATGTACCACCTAAGCTGGCTCACAGGTTTCCCCCCACGGCTAACGAAAAGTTTGCTTGATGCCACCTCCCTTTTACGAAACACCTGTTAGTAGGTTTGTTTTCAACCTCCGTTGCGGGTTGTTTTCGATAACCAAAAGAAATCCAAGGAGGATTTTCACTTTCACAAAATGATTATTGCTTCTTCACTTTACACCATTTTGGCTTTGTGCAAGGTTTCGTGGGAGCATTCCTTTTTCCGATAGTGAGGGAAACCTGTCTTTTTAAAAAATTTTATTTATTTCTCTATTTTTATTTTTGCTTTGGAGAGGTACCAAAACTGACTGGTCAATCAAATCAAAACTGATTTGATTTCAGGCTTGGCTGCGGGTGACCTTGAGCCGGTCACACAGCCTTCCTGAGCATCTATTTTTTCAAGTGCATCATGGAGGCACTGATTTCTATGCTATCGTGCTTCCCAACTGCTCTGAATCAGAGATTCCATCCAGGTTCTCTTTTACAGCAGTGTTTCATCTGGCCATACAACAAGCAAATAAATAATAAGAAAACACGTAATTGCCAGGGGAAAATAAAACAAAATGCTAAGCAAGGCCCAAGAAGCACCTTGGGGTTTAATTGTATCATGTCTGATTCACAACCTGAAAACTTAGTTGCGTTGCTCTCTTTGCAAAGTTATGTCAGTACCTTCATTACAAAATTTTAAAAAGATTCTCTTTCGGGGTGCCTGGGTGGCTCAGTCAGTTAAGCGTCTGACTTTGGCTCAGGTCATGATCTCACAGTTCGTGGGTTCAAGCCCCACATCGGGCTCTGTGCTGACAGCTAGCTCAGAGCCTGGAGCCTGCTTCAGTTTCTGTGCCTCCCTCTCTCTCTCTGACTCTCCCCTGCTCACGCTCTCTCTCTCTCTCTCTCTCTCTCTTTCTCTCAGAAATAAATAAAACATTAATTTTTTAAAATAAAAAATAAAAAGATTCTCTTTCAAAGCGAAAAGAATGTATGAAGTCCTAAAAGGCATGTAGACCAATCCTAACATTTTTATTGCTTCAGAGTAGAAAAAGCAGAAGATGTATATTAAGCCAGAGCTACTTCTGTTTGTTTGTATTATTTCTGAGTCGCTGAACAGCCCTGATTTCCGCTTCCTCATCTATGAGATGGAGAGAAACCTGTCCTGCCTACCACACAGGATTGCTGTGGGGTCCCAACAAAAGTTCTGTCAAGTGTAAAGCACGATACCAATTTAAGACTTCATGTTACCATTTTCTCTTACCAGTAACCAAGATCTCACCCTGTCCCCACCCCAACATTCTTAGAAGGTGTATGGTTCAGCATTAGAGCAGCGAACGAGGTTGTGTTTCTGGACTCGTGCTATCTGCTAATCCAGACACCACCACTTAATAGCTCTGGGATGCTAGGGAAATCCCATGTCCTCCCTTGAGTTTCCCAGCCATCTGACAGGGATGACAGGGCCTATCCCATAGGGCTGTCACAAGGCTTAAAGCAGCCAGCACACACCCAAGACAGTTAGCACAAGTGGCTGGGACTTTAGAAGAAACCAGTAAGTGTTGACTCTGGAAATTTTTAAACCCCCTTCTCCAGTTACTCCCGAATGTAGCAGCTCTCCAAAGCAAAACAAAACAAAACACAAAACAGCGACAACAACAAAAAAACCTGTATTTAAAAGAAAGTCTCTCCTTTATTTCCCAAACAGGGCTGGTTCAGTCCTGGCCAGGTGTTTGTCCTAGACGAATATTGTGCCCGAAATGGAGTCCGAGGGTGTCACCGACATCTCTGCTACCTCAGAGACTTGCTTGAACGGGCGGAAAATGGCGCCATGATCGACCCCACCCTCCTTCACTACAGCTTCGCCTTCTGTGCGTCCCATGTCCACGGGAACAGGTAAGCACTTGTCCAGAGGTATTCCTCAAAAAAAAAAAAAAAAAAAAACACTTTTTTTAAGGCATTGGCCATGGTATATGACTTGTCCTGCTTTCAGTATGATCTCAAACTCTGTATCCATTCCCATTCTTTCTGTAGCGCACACACACACGAACACACACAGGTGTTAGTTTCTTCTCCCTTCAAGAAGCTTAAAAAAAAAAGGCAAACAGGACTTCTAACGTGGTCTCTGAAGGTGGAACATTCTAGGTTCAAGTCATGGCTCCTCCATTTGCTAGCAGAGATGCTGGATGGTAATGAAACCCTCTGTGCTACAGTTTTCTCATCTACAAACCAGGGATCATAGTGTTCTCATGGGGTGGTTGAGACGATCTGGGTGGTCTCAGCACAATGCCTGGAACATGACAAGAGCTTCATAAATGTTTACTTTTGCTGTGATTATCGTTCATTCCATAAATATTTAATGATGATTTACTGGGTGCCAGGCACTCTGGTACACATTCAGCGTATGTGGTGAGCAAAACAAGGCAGCGAACAAGGGCAGGTCGGCACTCCGAAGGCAAGGAGTAATATTCCATACTAGCATTTAATAAGGGAAGACAGCTCAGACGGCACGTGAGGACGGCAGGGAGGGTGTCCCTGAGGAAGAGATGTTGGGCTGGGAACTGAAGCACATGTAGGAGTTGAGTGCTTCCAGGCAAAAGGAGCAGCGCGCACAAATGCCCTGCAGAAGGCGAAAGCCAAGCACACTTCAAGAGCTGAAAGAAGCTAGGTGAAGCTGGAAGGCAAAGATAATCATAACACTTACAGTTTAACCACAGAGCTGGGAGGAACTTCAGAGATCACAGTGTAACCAACCCCCTCGTTTCATAGGTTTTCTAGACAAGGCCAGAACATCAGTTCTCCTAACTCCATACTCAGTACTCTTTGTTTAGACATTGCCCAGCTCCTGGAGGAAAAGATCCGTGTTCTGAATAATGCAAAGCGGCAAATAATTTAAGAACATTACCATTTGGCTCTGAAGACATGGAATAAATTTCCACATTGCCACAGCCAGTTTACTATCCCAATGTATGTAGCCTCACGTTGCTATAAAGACAAGCCTGCGTTCCCTCGAGCACCTCAACCAATAGCCAGGAAAGGCACATCCAGGAAAAACTAGGTAGCTTCCGAACCCTGAAAAAATTGGTGCTGCGTGGATTTTAAATCAGGCCATCAATTATCTTCCTCTTCGCAAGCTAGACAACTCTGAGATATCTGCGGGATTTGTTCTGTGCTTTTCTTCTCTCCAGTGCTGGGAGGTTTTATGAGATACAATGTCAACATTTAGAACTAGGTAACAATAGCATTGTAGGTTTGAATATTTAACAAGCAACAAGGTTTTCATCACCTCCCGTTGTTATAAGGTTTGCTAGCCCAGCACATGACCTTTTATTGATGTAAAAAATATTTATGAAAACTCTGCTACCTGGGGAGTATCTGTGCATAATTCTGCTTTTTATAAATATGTACACTTTGATGACTATCTGTTACAGCCTCTTGGACTGAGTTCTTTAAAGAGAGAGAGAGAAGTTGCATTATATTCTCTGGGTTGTCACACTGTATTCTACATATGTTACTGAATAAGAAAGTGTTATAAAATAATGAAGTGTTTTTGTAAACTCCCTGGTAAACATCATCATGAATTATGATACACATTGTCTGGATTTCATATTGTAAGACTGCCACTTGATTCACAGTTAGGTTTATACATCTTGTCATGGAAACAGTTTTGGATTTCTTATTTTCTTTTCAGTTCCGATTTTCCTTATGCAAGTTTGCATCTTTTTTTTTTTTTTTGCTTATTATTTTAGTTTGAATGCATTTGCTCTTGCTGTTTGATGCATCCTTCTTTTTCTTTCTTTTGTTTGTGCATGTATGTGTGCTCTTGATTCTCCTGTGGCTGGCCACACTGTGTGCATGCCCCATGTGGCCACCCCCTCTCCAAAGTCAACAAATGCATGCGTATCTTAGTGGGCTGCCACCAATTACAGACCCTGAGGGGAGCAAAACTCCCTCCCCATCTGAACCAGAGGCTAAAAAAGATACCAAAAAGGAATCCAAAAAAAGAAAAGATTGCAAAACGCAGGCAAATCCAGAGCCCAAAAGGTAAGAAGGTCACGTGTGTGTTGGCTTGTGTTTTGCGATGTCTATGCCATTCCCCCCATCCACGCCACGACTTCCACCTTAGCAAACAGCAGACTTTGTGTGTTTCTGAAGTCTCCGTTCCTTTAACGGGTTTCAAAGGTAGACTTTAAAAGAGAATCATAGCAATGGGCAAAATACCATGTATTAGTACTGAATGTGAGTCAGGTGCTTAGTGGCTCTGAGAACACATTCATATTAAAAAAAACCAAGTCATGTGTAAACAGAATCAGGAATCAGAATGCTTTTTTAGTGGCATCTAGTTCAGGGCCTGCTACCTTACCGAATCATTTGAAATAAGCAACCCGTGCTTTGTAATTTTGAAATTATGTTTAAGGAGCAAATAGAATAGGTTGTTATAAGATGAGTCTATACATTTATAGTAGCTACATCATTTTTAGCAAGCCTTTCTCAGTTCCACATTGATCTTAGGAGACAAAGCTATCTTTAGATAATGACTTATAACAACACAAAGCAAAACCTACCACTAAATGAATGGCTCTTCGTAGAATCACTTATATAATGAGGTCACCTTGAAGCCATCTTCAAGTTCTAAAATTATATTTATCCTCTTCTGTTCTCTTTGTCCTTTAGGGCTGCTCTCATTGTGAGTTGATAAAAATGGCCAATTGGTGGCTTTCCCCCCCCTTCATAGACTTGCAGTCATTTCCAGTGTTATCCTTATGTCCTTCTTCACCTTCCTTATCCTTACCACAAATTAATCTTGTCATTTGAAAGTTTCCTTGTTGTGGTTTTGAAACTGATATTATGACCTGGTGTTGCCAAGAGACACAAGGTTCACAAGCAGGTATGTTTTTCGCTCTCAGTATGAATTTGTTCACCGGAATATTTCTGAGTCCTGAAGTATATATACAGTTCGCTTGTAGGCAGACTGAATGAAAATACTAACTTCACTTCCTAGAGAATATGGCAGGCTGTCAATCAACATGTCCCAATCTGATAGGGAACTTTTCAAACTTGCGGCGTGTAAAGATGGAGGTGAGGTAAAGTTTTTGTTTGTGTTTGTGTTTTCCAAACGAGAGTTAAAACTGCAAAGCAATGGTAGCTTGCAGCCAACGAGAAAGCACTGAAGAGGCCTCTCTGGGTGCTGTCCAAGGTGCTGAGTGGTCAGCATTGAAACAGAAAGTAAACCAACCGCCACATTCGATTGAGCCTGCCCTGTGCCTTGAAAAACTGTCGGAAAGGATCTTGAATGGTACTTTGATGAGCTTATGTGTGTATATTGCATGTTTTAATGCAGATGAAATCATAATTTTAAATATCAGTCGTGTAGCACTCTGCAGTTTATTCTATACGTTCCATCTCATTTGCTGCAACATTTTCAGGTTATTTTTTACATCCATTTTGCGGAGGATGAAACTGAATGTCTACAAATTTAAGTGGCAAACTCAGATATTCTGAGTCCAAAGCTCTTCCTCTTTGCCCTACATCACCATCGTGTGGAGACTCTAAACTCAAGGTCTGAGTTTAGAGTCTGTTCTGCATAAATTCAGGATTATCATATCTTAATTCTTTGCCTCAGTTTTCTCATCTGCAAGATGAGCATGTAGTATCATAGCACATCTCATATCCTGTCAAACTCTTAAATTATCTTCTATAGATTATAATAACAAATTAAATAAGCCATTCTCATATTCCATAAAAAAAAAGTTTAATTAAATCAAGGATAATTGCTGCCATTTAATAAGTGCTCACTCTATGCCAGGGACTGTGTGAAGTGTTGTTCAGATTTATTATCTCATTGCATCCTTGTTACATCCAAGTGAAATATTACTATTAGTTTCCTCTAACAGAGGAGAAGTTTGAGGCTCAGTAAGTTCAGTCACTTACTCTGTTGCAAACACGGTGTGGTCCTAAATCAGAACGGACAGTCTGACTTTGGAGCTGGCATTTGTATATGGTGTAAGATGCCAAATTCAGCCATTTGATAGGAGTTTCAGCATTTCCAGGCTGGATACTATAACAGTCATCTGAATTAATTAAAGAGTTTTCCATTTTTGTCCTAAAGATGTCCAAAATCAATATGGCTTACCTGGTAATTTTGGCCTGGTGAAGAAAGCCACCGTATATCTGGAGTTTTAGACCACATAAGAGCAGAGTCTCCTTTGAACATGAATCAACAACCTTTAGGTGTGGAGAAACCATTTTTGCCAACCTTTTTTTTTTTTTTACCAGGATGAACACTATTTTCATGTGTAGATGTTATCTATTCTTTGGCCCAGATTGAGAAGGCACTCATGACTCATGGAAACAAATTGCCCTTTAATTGAATTTAACTGAACAATAGAAGCCATTCCTGTTGTCATTTCCCAAGCAGCTTCTGATTAGGTAAAGTATAGCCTTTTACCTAATCATTAACTTTTTACCTATTAATAATGCAGCATACCCAAAAGTGGAGGGAGAGCCCTTCCCTGCTGCAGTTGGAAATCATTAATGGCCACTCAGCTGCTGATGACTCAGATTCGCCCACCTTCTCTGGAAGCCTGAGCCACATCTTTGTGGAAAACTATGCCTATGTGAATCTACAGCATCGGATCAAAAGTAGACACATCTGGTCAATCAGGAAGATGATTGCTACTTATAATTCCAGGCACTGGAAGCTATGGAAACATCCACATGTTTAGCATCTTTTAGAATAGTGGCTCTTGACTGGGAGCAGGTGGGAAGGTGATATTTTATCCCACGGGACATTTGAAAATGTCTGGAGACATTTTTGATTGTCACCTAGGGAAGGGGTGGTACTGTTGTCACCAGGAGTAGAGGTCAGGGATATTTCTAAATGCTGGCAATGCACA